TTATCCCCCTTTGATCAATCAAAAATCCGAGAAACTTCCCAGACTTAACACCAAAGACATACTTCTTGGGATTAAGCATGACCTTATGCCGCCTGAGGGTGGTGAATGTTTCTCGGAGGTCAGCAAGGTGATCCGGCTGGAGCTTAGATTTGACTATCATGTCATCAATGTACGCCTCTACATTCCTCCCAATTTGATTAATGAAGACTGTATTGATCATTCGTTGGAAAGTAGCAGGCGCATTCTTCAACCCAAACGGCATAACCGTATAACAGGATAACCCTTGATCAGTGACGAATTCCGTTTTCTCTTGATCTTTTTTCCACAAGGGTATCTGATGAAAGCCTGAGTAGGCGTCCATGAAACTCATCAAGGCATGACCGACTGTAGAGTCGACTGGACTGTCGATCTTTGGAAGTGGATAGCTATCCTTCGGACATGTCTTATTCATATCTGTGTAATCAACACACATGCGCCAGGTACCATTCGGCTTTTTCACAAGAACAACGTTTACTACCCAATCCGGGTAGTGACATTGCCGAATGAACCCGGCATCCATCAGCTTCTTGACCTCAGCGACAGCCGCCTGAGACCTCTCTTCGCCGTGATTTATTTTCTTTTGCCTAACTGGCTTCTTTTTTTGGATCCACGGCAAGTTTGAGGACAGCAAGATCCGGGCTGACACCTGACATCTCTTCCACTTCAAAGGCAAAAATGTCTTTGAATTCTTTCAACAGTTTGTGCAAGTCGGCACCCAACTTTGCAAAAGCAGCCATCCCCACCTTAATAGTTCGCTTCGGACGTGTATCATCAAGAAGGATGTCAATATGCTCACTAGCCGGCTGGGGACGGAGATCATCTGGTCGTTCCCCGACCAGTGATTGTTATTGCTTTTCTTTCTTGACTGCCTCTAAACTGGTCCGCCTTCCTCTTTTTGCCGGCTGCTTTAGGAGTAGGTGCGGCTTCCTTGAAGTCATCAAGGTCAATAGGCTCTTCGCCTTGGCCAGCTGCGGCCACAGTAGGCTTGACGTCTGAGAGATAACACTCCCTTGTCGTCTTCAGATCCCCATTCAGGGAACTCACTGACCCATCATCCCTCTCAAATTTCAGCAGCATGAGGGATGGGATGATGACTGCCTTTGACTCGTTGAGGGTTGGACGGCCCAAAATCAGATTGTAGGCGGTCAATTCTTCAACCTCCAAGAATTTGACGACCATGTGGCGTCCTTCCCCCTTTTCTCCTAGCCGGATGGGTAGGTTAATCCTCCCCACCGGATGCACTACTCCACCCCCTAAACCAATTAAGGGGTGAGAGACTTTGTGCATGCTGCTAGGCTTGTACTTGAGATTTGCCAAGCACCCATAGCTGATAAGGTCAGATGAGTTCCCGGTATCAATAAGAATTCGGCCTAGTCGTTGATTAGCGTCCTTGCACTCGATGACTATGGGGTCATCATGTGGCCGCCTGACCTTTCCACAGTCCTTCTCAGAGAGGATGACCTCAGGGAAGGGGTCTTTCGACGCCTAGCCCTCATCCACTGAGTTGACCTCTAATTTTTTGATATTGTCCTTGGTGCCCCGGATGGTAAGATCCCCTCCAGTAAAACCGACTGCTATAGTATAAATATGCTCTTCATCAATGTCTGAAATTATAGTAAGCTAGTCAGGCTTTTGGGACGGTTGTCCACTGTTTGTTTTGAGGGTGGACTTCAGAATGTAGGACTTCAGTACCCCTTTGTCAGATGGTCTAACGACGACCGCTTGAGGCTATATCAATCGTCGGTGTCATGGCCTATATCCTCATGGAAGTGACGGTATTTGCTTTTGTCCTGACTTTTGGCGGAATTTTTCATTGCAGCCGATTTCTCAATAGTCACCCGATCTTTAATCTCCATGAGGATGGAGTAACAGTCCTTGTTGAACTCGTACTTGGGGGCGTACGGTTTCAACTCTTTCTTTTCTTCAGGGATGGCTGACCAGAATTGTCCGCCATCCAGATTTCTTTCATTTTCTTGCTCTCTTCTTTTTTAGCCGGCTGAGCAGACCGGTTCTCTTTTTTTCGCACTTTTTAGGGTCCGACGGCTGCTTGATGGCGCAAAACTCAGTCGCCTGTATATAGGCTTCCGCCTCCATCAGAGCCTCTTGGAGGGTGGCAACCCTCTTCCTGACGAGGTCGAACTTAAAGGTCGACCCGTCCTTCAGACCTTTGAAAAAGTCTGTGTAGGTAACTTCGTCAAATAGCCCTTAAATCTGGATTCTCATCAGATTGAACCGCCTGACATAGGACCTTAGCCCTTCTCTATCTCCCTGCTGAATAGCTTACAAGTCGTGACTTGTCTTTTTGGCGGGGATGTTCATAGAGAAGTTGGACGTAAAAAGGTATGCAAGCGTCTTAAAATTGTTGATGCAACCGGCTGGCAAATTGCCAAACCATCGTTGGGCTATGCCCTTCAATGTCGCCGGGAAGCACCGGCACCAAGCGGCATCATCCAACCCCTGTAGATACATGAGGTTGGTGTACGCCATTAGGTGGTCTTCCGGGTTGGTGGTACCGTCATAGGTACCAACCAACACATTCTTAACCTTGGCCGGCTGAGCCGCCTCGGTTATCTCCCTAGAGAACGCCGACAGTTGTTCCCTAAGTTTTAGCAGCTGGAGCTGCCAGTCCAATGGCTGAACATTTAGTGTCGCCTGACCCCCAAAGAGGGTCGGCTGCATGTTGGGTGATCCATATGGAATCTATGGCTGTTGGAGCACATACGGAGCCGGCTAGATGATCTGAGGGCCAGTTGGTGCGGACATGCCGCGTGACTGACTCTCTCGCTTTATTTCCGAATACCTCATCGAAGTATTCGGGAAACTACCTGGGTAAGTCGACGTTGAAGCCGACTCAAACAAATGTTTACTTCTCTTCTGCTAGTTACATCCGGGCATTCGAGTAAGTCTTTTTTGATCCATCCGGCTGAACTTGCCGGATGGCCTTCCTTTTCCCTGCTTCAAGGAAACAGAATTTTGATAAATCAGTCATGGGCCCATCCGTCCCCTTTGGTTTAGGGTGAGGAGTAGGCACACGATCCTTCACATGCTTCTTCCCTGAGGGAGAAGACTTCTTGGCTGACTGACCCCTGTTGGTGTCAGTCGTCTTCTTGTTTATCAGGTCCTTGATTTCCCCTTTGAAACTTGTCATGAATTTCATGAGTTCGTCTCTTATAACAGAGGCAGCACCCTCCACCGTCTGGGGTTGTCCAGCCGCCTTAACGGTTGGGTTACTTGGACCAGCTTTGTCTTTGCCCTATTCCCTTGTTTTGCTTGGAACGAGTGCGTCTTGTTCTGAGTGACCCGTCTGGAGCCATATAGGTGTCGACCTCAAAGTCGTCACCACTATCTTGGTCCGTGTGGACCTCGGCTTCGGCCGTAGGCCGTTTCTCATTAATGGGCAGTACAGACTCACGGAAAGCCATCTTAGAAGTACTCTCCCCGCAGACGGCGCCAAATGTTTCGGGGTTTTTGGAGTCCCTCGGGAGAGTTACAATTCCAAGAATGGATGTCGACCGTCTGTACCTGCAAAAACCACGAAAACTCCGGTTGGGTGGAATTCCGCCTCCGACGATCAAGTTAGTATGTAAGGACGGAGTTAAAAGTGCGGAATGTAAAGAGGTTCCCTCGGATTCCGAGAGAGAATATCTGCAATTAATATTGCTCTGATTTGTGAATATTTCTGAATGTGCAATAAATGGGGATCTCTCCCTATTTATAGGGTTTGAGGATCAGCTCCCCTTTCATGACTTGGACTGCCACGTGTCATCGGAGAATTGGTTCTTTCAGAAACCTCTCTAAGGGTGACATGTGTCAGCATGCAATTGGTCCATTGGACCGGGGTATTTTACCCTAAACACACGTTAATACCTTAAGTAGCAAGGTTTTTCATAATTTGGAATCTAGCAAATTCTTGTGTATCAAAGTATGCAAGCAAGTCTTCCTGCCTCATCAAAGCTTCATGTAATGCCTGCCCATCAAACAATGATATAAAGTACCATAAAACACCTCACGGCCTTATTCAATTTTCCTGTAGCTGGACACATGAAGAGCTGCCCTTCTAGTTTCTCTATTCATTTTATTTTGTTACATCAGAAAAATAGTTCATTATATAATTAGTAATAGTAACAAATTTATAATTAAGAGAGCTACCCTTCTGGTTGCAATCAATCCGACTTCTAGTGCATCACCACTCGATATATTGCAGCATTTAGCAACTCCTCTTTCTCAGAAGGCATCTGTGTTGGCGTTGTTTGAAATGTATTTACACTCTCTTCAATATCACTAACCCTTCTGTGAATGACATGACATCTTATGCAAGGCCCTTGGAGATTCAACAATCTTCATACCATCACTTTGAGCCAAGTTCCTGTTGACTTGTATAGGCACCTGTGCTGCTGTAAAGATACAGATAAGCTTCAGAGTAAAGCTTAAAAACTATTTAACTTATAAGATTTGATACACTTTGTGATATGCATCTGTTATTTGGAATTGCTTGTACATGAGAAGAGATCTTTGTAGTGAAAAGTCTATGATGTAACATTAGTTGACGGACTTCTGTTAACATAAATTTATTCATTTTCAACAGAAAGCATGTTGTAGCAGAAGATGTGTAAGAGGGGGTAGGTCAACTTTCCAATGTTAATATATAGTAAGAACTCGATACTGATTACTGAAGAATAATTTACTCCATATCTCTTAGGTCTTTCTATTAAATGGTCAAACCAACAGTTGGACCCTGGGGAAAGCATATGCATTAACTTTGAGTAAATCTATTGTAGATTTATAGCATATGAGGAAAATTTTAGAATAATAACCAAATAATAAACAGATCTAGGTGCATCAGACCAATTTCCTTGCCTGAAATAATGCAAACAGTATTGTGTGTAAGTTGCTTAACAGAAAATATTTTACACAAGGTACAATCATCTGAAGACAAGTTGAGATATCAATACACTGCAGCATAGCATAAAAGATAGGCATAGCACTGACTTCAGTAAGCTAAAAGCATATAGATCCAAAATCTGAACTGATATACAAGGATATCAGGCAACTAGCACTGAATCTAAGCAAAAATTAACAAAAGGATGCAGTATAATAGCGCTTCGTACAAGAAAAGGTAAATTAAAGTTAAATTTTTTTCTTTCCATGGCTAAACGGAAAGATAGCATCCGAAAAGGCCCTTGAAGAGTGACTATTTGAAAGAAAATGTATGTACCTGAAGGTCGAAGGTCAAAACTGATACATTTTAATTCATTATCAACCTATATCATTGACTTTCCATTGTTCTTCACAAGAAAAAACTAAACAATCTATAAATGTAAACATAACTATATACATGCCTTTGTGAGATGTAACTGATCAATATTTGCTTTACAGACTCTTAAATATACGGACAAGTTTGACCTGCAAAGATGCATCTAAGCAATATGCTTTGTGGGGTTCAAAAGACATATTACACTTTCCACCAAATAACCAATGGGGAGGGGAATTTTTTTAAAACCACTTCCTGTATATCCCATCTTCTCAATCATCTCCTTCATATTCTGATACATTGTTGGCCTAACCTGCACATTTCATCAGAAAATTTGTGATTAAATTTATATAACTATGAAAATTATAGCTGATTAACTTAACAGTAAAATTGCGTTGCATTGAAGAATATACACTTCCAAAATGTACATTACGCATAGCAGCCATGAGCAACACAATAGGCATCTCCACTGCAAGAACACATAATTTTGAAGTTTTGACAATTATCAAATTGGTTTAGCAAAATTCAAAAAACACAGATCTGCTAGCAAAGAGGTCTATGTACATACAAACGATTATTGGAAGAAAAAGACCCGTTCCATCTTCCATCTTAAGCACAATGGCTGGGTGCGGTGCATAATCTGGAAGATGGCCACCTTGAGGGCTGTTATGGACACAGTTTAAGAACCTGCCATCTCTCATCTTTAATGTGAAGCCATCTGAACCACATTTCACCTCAACTACAATAAAGCATTACAGATATACTGATTAATAGTATGCACAAAATAATTTGTGAAGAAAACAAAATCTAGAAACAGGCAACACATTATTCTCCAAAGAATCAACAGTGAATGCCTGAATGGAGCTTATTTGCCCCAAAGCAGGCATGCAGAATTGACTTGTATCTATTGTAAACTTAGGGTGTATCTTGAATCATCACCATTGAAAAAATAGATGTGGCAAGAGAATGCAAGTTTTCTCTTAAGTAGTTCATTAATGTCCTAGCAAATAAAGTTTATAACCCATCAACCACAATACTCCAACAATCCAGTGCAATGATAACAGTTACAAAAAGAGACAGAAAGTGAGAGATTACTGGTTGATAATCGGTCGTAAGAAAACAAACATAGAACTAGGGGTTGCACAATGCATAGTCTCATACTATCACTTGACACTTTTGGAAGTTAACAGAAAAATACATTGTAGTATCTATGGACCTAGGAAATCCAGACACATGTTAGCAAGCAAGAATACCAAATTATAAGATAAGCTGATGAGTTTATATAAACCATAGCTATTCCAACATTCAGTCTCATGAAATGGTAATGAGAGTACATCCTACCAGCTTCAATTACACTGGAGTTGACATAATCCTCATCATTTTCCTTTTCTGTTACGCTACCACTTCCGTTAGAAGATGAACTAAAAGTGCAATGAACTGTACCAAGCCTTCGGATATTAAGTGGGAGAGTAAGCACGCTCACGTTAGTAGATCGTTGGCTAACACTCTTATAAGCCCAAAATACACTTCTGAGCATGGCATCCTTCATCAAAGCAAAACTAATTGGTACTTGGTAAACACCAACCTGCTTCGCACGAATAGCTAATGACCCCATGTCCTACTTCCAAGTCCTAAGATCAACAAACAATTTCATTACATGAACTACATTATAATAACTTAAAAGAAACCAAAAGGTATCCATGATCAAACCAGTTAAGCTATCATCAGAAATTTTACTAACACTTGATCATTTAGGCATTTCCTACTCACTTAAGCTAGCAATTAGCAAGATAAGACATCAGAAACTTGATAGCAGCTTCATAAAACACATAATTGACTTTCCCACTTGGTACTATTTCAAAACTTTCCAGAAATAAATGTTCCTTCTTTTTATTAATGTATACTAATATAACTAGGTTTACACACTTTTTATAGTGATACCCTTCTGGACCAAATGTCTGATACACAATCGGCTACAGAAAAAACAGCCAACAAAACAGAGAATTTTTATCATTTATAACCCACAAAGGCCACAATATAATTCATGCAATATTTAATATTATCCAATCAATTTTCCCAGTTAAATATAAAGTAAAAGTCCCAGGGAAAGTACCCAAGGCCTCAAGGCTCAGGGTTGACATCGGATCAAATCCCATTTACATCAATGACTTTTTGGTGCTTTCTAATCATTGCCCTTGGTTGGTGCTTTCTTCATCTCCTTCCCGAGCTTATCTAATATTGTATCAGTCACATTATTTGGTAAACAACCTGCATCTAACATCATCCTTAGGAGTTTGTGTGCATCTTTCAGTCTACCCACCTTTGTATGAATTTCGATTAATGTGTTAAAAGTAACAATATCAGGGTTTATCCCACTTTTCCTCATCTGCACAAAAAGCTTCAACGCTTCATCAACTCTACCAACCTTACCAAGGACATTCATGAGAGTATTGTACATAACAATATCAAGATAACCACCCTCGCTCACTAGCTTATCTAGGATGGAGCTAGCTAGATCTGCTCTTCCCATCTTTCCCAAACTTTGAATGATAATGTTATATGTTGCTACATCAGCTGGACAAAGGTTCTCACCCATTTCATGAAGAATTCCCCACGTTTGATCAAAATAACCCTTCTTCACAAATGAACTCATTATGGAATTGTATGTATAATTCACAGCATCAATTCCCATATCAGTAAAAACCTCAAACAGTTTGCATGCTATGCTCAATTGACCCTTTGCCAAAAAAATGGACAAGTATGTATTAACCATGTCAATATCAAATGAGTTCATCCTTTTTGCTTGAACTCGCCGACCCTTGTTCAAAGAGAACCATTTAAAAAATTGGCCATTGGATTTGACTTCATTCGCCAATTGATCCATGTAAGGAGATGATGACCACTCATCCGCATCAGCAGTGCCTGCCTCCCAATCTGAATATTCATCATCACCTGATCCTACACCGCTATCTGCTCCACCATCAACTGAGAGCAAGTCCACAATTTCACTAAAATTGCCTTCAGCTGGGAAAATGGGGGTGCAATCCTCTCTTTTTTTCTGCTGATGTTTCAATGTAGCTTCCATATTAGCTTTCCACCTGAGAACATTGTGCAACAAATTTCCATCTCTTATGTGTCTCATCAACTGGTCTGTTGAATTCCATCGACCTTGCTTATAAAATCCAATTAAGAGTGAAGTTATAGTGACTAGATCAACAACAAATCCCCTGCCTTCCATCTCTTCTACCAAATGCAAGGCTTCCTCGATTTGGCCCTCCCTACAAAGATGCATAATGATGATGCTATAAGTAATTCCATCGACAAACTGCCCTTTCTTTTTCAAATCACAGAAAAGTGTGTAACCAGCAACTGCCCTGTCATTTTTAATCAGCCCATCAATTAAAATGTTGTATGTCCAACATGTTGCACTAACCCCTTCTTGCGTCATCTTCTCAAAAAGTTGGCAGGCTTCTGTGAGCTTTCTAGCCTTTAGAAAAGCATCTAGGAGAGAATTGTATACAACAGTATCTGGTTGGAAACCACTACATAGCATTTCATTAAAGATCTTAGTTGCAACTTTAACCTGATACGATTTGCAGCAGCCTGTATTAATATACGATAAGTGAAAGCATCAGGCTCATGACCTGAGTGTTTTAGCTCCTCCCAAACAATTAATGCATCCTTCACCTTGCCAACTAAACAGAGTACATGTATGAGACTATTATAAGTACACAGATCTGGACCACAACATGTACCAGCACTTGGTTCCTTCATCTCCCTAAAAAGGCGGAGTGAAGTTTCAAGGTCACCCCAACAGCCAAATGAATGAATGCATATATTATAACCCCATGTATCCAATGCAATGTTCTTCTCTCTCAAACAGGAAAATACTTTCCCAAACTCTTCCTTCATTTCGGCTCTTCTGAGAGAAACGAGCAATTCATTGCAGGCAACAGGCTCACAGGGAACAGCAGCTCCACTGCCGCTGGACATTTCTAGAAGTCTGGTAAACATAGTTAAAGCTAAACCAAGCTGCTTTTTTCGAACCAGAGCAATGACAACAGAATTATACATTAGGGGACTAAAGGTAGCTCCTAAAGCTTCCATCTGGTCAAGAGTTGCAAGAGCAGAATCAATCTGACCAGAATTGATAAAAGCATCAAGCAGAAGCTTAAAGGTGGCTGAATCAACAAGGACGCCATCATGCTTCATCGCACTAAATAGATACTGCACCACATGATCATTAAGGTGATTGTGATTCCTTGAATGACAAAGTACACGGAAAATCTGGGAATAAGCTTCTGTAGAGTGTTTATAACCATACCTATCAGAGCACCACTTGAAAAACTCAATCTTTTTGGAAGGGTCAAGGGAGGTCTTTCTAAGAACATGCTGAATAAGACTCTCAGAGAGAGATACGGAATCAACATCAAGATTTTCCGTTCCAGATTGAGACAAAGTTTTGGTGATATGGGCTGCCACGAGAAGGTTCCCGATTTCTTTTGATTGAGTAGAGATAGACTTTGATCTCTTTAATTGGCCAGAAGTAGAAGAGCAGAAGTAACGACAGCTCCTCCACAAAACAATATCTAAAGAAGTTTGCATCCCAAATCATTCTAAATCTTCAATTGAAACCTACAATCATGATCAAATTCTCAAATATATTAAAATAAAGACTTGAAGTGCGACGCAAAATTTTTAAGTCATACAGAAACCAGTCAAATCACAGGACAAAAACATAACTACAACCACCATCCACCCAAAAATCTGCTGTTGGCTTAAGAAAGAAAATTGTAGTCAAATCTTACATTCTTAAATTGAACATTTTGCATAATGTCTTTCCTACACCCTCTCACAATTTCCTATACACTCTATGCGGGGAGGATAATGTAGGAGGGTGTAATTTTACACCCGGGTGAAGGACGGAAATCGCGGCAACTTGTCAACATAATACATATTCACATAATTCATAATTCATATTCACATAATGCAAATCGTCGCATACATGTGAAGAAACCATATAAAAAGTCCTACACCAAAATTTTAATGAAAGTAGGCTAGTTGCTAGTAACATACATCACACAATCATTCAACCAGTTCAATTATACATTACTTGATCAGAAATCAACTAATCAACCTCGAATATTAACAAACAACCTACAATTTAATAACTTATACACTAAATCATACAGTTAATGCAGCGATAATCAAATTAGATTGTGAAATTGATATGATGATAACAAATACAAACAACTTACCTAATTAAGAGTTCAACGGAGAACGTCAACTGCGCTTGAATGGAGAACGTTGAATGGAGAAGTGAGAGAGGTAGAGTTGGAGGCCTTGATAACCCCATTAAAGCCAAAACGTCCCTTTTTTCCCTAATTCAGCTCTTCAACTCTAAATTAGGGGAAAGAGAAAATGAAGTGTGGTCTGTGGAGGAGAGATAGTGTGGTTGAGGAGGAAACAGAATTATTTTTTTTACAAGAATTGAGGAATGTAGTAAACTATTTTCATGATAACCATGGTTTAAAAACGCTAGAACACCCTTAGTCGTGAACAAATAAAATTATTTGTGTTACTATTTGAATGAAATAATGTAAAAAAAAAATGGGGTGATAGTGAACAGTGGCTTGTATAAATATGAATGGTTTGGAAAACCAAATTGTTCATGAAAAATATTTCTCTCACAAAAAACTCACATTTGTTGAAGTTTTTACTCCAAAAGTGACATTTTTTTTTAAAACAAATAAATAAAATAAAAGGTAAATTGCTGATATAGACAACATAGAGCAGCTTACCACGTGTCCTCATGCATGCCCTTGGATCTTGGAGGTGGGGTAGGTGAATAATAACATGAATAATTTTTTTGTTCATGGTTAACAGAAGAATGTTGGAAATTATTTGTTTGGTTGATGTATATGAGAGAGAGTTTTTTTTTTTTTTTAGTGAATACTGTAAAGAGAAACTTGGGCGTATTTACCGTCGCGTGATAACGTAAGGTTAGCTCAAAGCAAACTAATTTAGCCGCGGAAACCAAAACCAAATTTATTTTACCAACAACTTAACCAAGCTAAGGTTGTTGAGTACATACTTATAAAACTTCAAAAGGAACTCTAACTAAGTGATCAATATCGAACTCCCAATGCAATATAAAATCTCTATCTGAAATCATGAATGCTCACCAAAAATTAGTTAATAGGGCGAACCAAAACAAAAATGAAATATAAATTAGCAAAAACACTAAGTACATACACATACTAGACATGTGAATACCTTTTTTTTTAATTAAACATGCTTTGAAAAAGCATTTATCTTAAATAAACCATGCTTAAACAGACCTTCCATAAAACATCCATTATTAGAAACATGTTGAAAGTAGTAGATTTCCAAAAAAAGATAACTTTCCAAGAATGTAACTTTAAAAAAATAATAACTTTTCAAGATAACAGATTTCACTATGAATGAAAGTCAATTTCCTCTTAAGTGTGCACACCCCCCCTCCCCCCACCCAAATTAGTAACTCCTTACATGGCATATATATACTTGAGAAAAGACTAGATCCTACAAAGTTTATACTTAGATCACTCTCATTCTTGGGCAAAAAAAATGTCATTATCTCTCTGCCCACTTTCTCACTCTTCTTTCCCACTTTTCCTCATGGACATTTTATTTTTACAACTTCTCACACATTCATGGGTTAAAAAAAAAAAAACCCCCCACACCACTCTCTCTCCTACCCATTATCATCATCTAATTGTTTATATGATTATGAATGTTTACAACAAATCGTACATTGTATATGCTAATGATGCTAATTATCTAATTCAATTGATCTACTTTTTCATATCAAATAATAAAACATTAACATTACATATTATAATTATTTTTTTAAGAAAAAAAAAATCAAACTATTTTTTGTCCTAATAATTAAACACAAGCTTATTGATTATCGGGACCAAATTCTTGCCAAATATGCTCAATAAGGTCATATTTAAGCGATTCATGCTTACCCTTATCACGTAAAGCATTTTTTCTTCCCAAATAAGTGTCAATATTAATGTTTTCTGGTTGTCCAGTATTGAACTGAAAAGGTTCATCATTGTTCACCGTTGCACTTCTGCTTGTTCCGGCTCCGGTGCTTCTACGTTGTGGTCGATCTTCTTCATAGAATTTTCTCAAAACCTCAGCTCGAATGTAGTTATGAAGTTCATCCTCGACTATCATGACCGTTCACTAGAAAATTTATTGGAGGTGCCCGACCCTGCAAAATATCATCAAATACAGTAGATCTATACAGGATGTTAAGATCATTACATGAGCCAGGAATTCCAAAGAAAGCATGTCATATCCATAAGTCTTGATCTGCAACGGCTTCCAAAACTAGGGTTGCATTCTTAGTTCGTCCAGAATATTGGGCTTTCCATGCCATAGGGCAATTCGTTCTTCCACACCCGGTGCATGCAATCAATGCTACCAATCATTTTTGGAAATCCTCTGCTTTCATTTTAGTGAAAGATCCTTCTTAGGTCATCATCCGTTGGACTTCTAAGATACTCATCTTGAAAATTCTTGATTACCCCTTCACAAAAATGGTGCAATGATCGCCGTGCAGTTGTTTGGCCCTTGCGTACCTATTCATCGACAACATCTTGTGCCAAACCATATGCTAACATTCTTATTGCTGCTGTGCATTTCTGTAATGGTGATAATCCAAGCCTTCCCGTGGCATCTCTTCACTGCTTGAAAAACTCGTCAATTTCAACCACCGTGTTCATAATGTGATTAAACAACAGTCTATTCATTCGAAACCTTCGACGAAATTGTTTATCATTGTACACGGAATTCAATGCGAAGTAATCGTTGTGCAATTGATTATGGCCCTCCTCCCTCTTTTTATCTCCCCTAACATCCTCCTCGACACCCTCATTTACATTCTGATTTAAGGGTTGTGGTGTAGTAGATTGTGGGTACAATATAGCTAGTAAATAACTCCTTGCAAATTCATCTACTACATTTGTTGGTCAATGGATATGGTTTAATTTGTGAATGGTTTTCATTTAAGGGTTTCAAAGTCCTTTATATAGACTATTTTTTTTTTTGGCTTTGGTAGTATTTCCATGCAGGTGATGATTTTGACAACTTGCTTAGACAATGACAAACCATGCATGGTAAAAGCTCTCTTCCAAATGATGTGTTGGAAATTACACCAGCTATAAAACTTACTGCAATAAAAATTGTGGAGGAAAACAAACTTCATAAAGTTAAGTGACAACTCAATGCAAATTCAGTGACAATTCAATGACATACATTGACAATAATAAGTTACATTAATACAGGAAATTAATACTATACACAAATAACAATTGATTAAAATTACGGTTTTTTCACCATATACCCCTGAGTTTTTTGTTTATTCACCATATACCCCTGAACTTTTTTAAATTTATCATATACCCCCGAGTTTTCACAAAAATACACCATATACCCTTGATGACTAATGATTGTTAACTTCGTCAGTCATTAAGGTTAATTTTGACTCGAAACCACCCTAATACATTCCCCTACCTTCAAAACCACCCAAATTCTTTTTTCCCACCCCCAAACCACCAGAAATTTCTTTTTCTTATCCTCAAAATCAATCATACGGATATGGTTATGGAGATTTAAAGTGATTTTAAGGGTTGGAGAAAGGAGAAGAGTGGTTTTGGGGATGAGGAAGAGATTTAAGGTGGTTTCAATGCATAATTAACCAAATTCTACCCATCTTGTTGTCATTAGGGGTATATGGTGAATTTTTGTAACAACTCAAGGGTATATGGTGAATTTGAAAATTTTCAGGGTATGTGGTGAATAAACAATAAACTCAGGGGTATATGGTGGAAAAAACCGTTAAAATTACATAGCATAACATTACCATAAATATAAATTACATAATTATATAATAAGACTATTAAAAACAAAACTACATGATTAAAAAAAACCAACAATAAAACACATCCCAGGGGATAAATCATAAAATACTTAATCAAGATTGAACTAGCTTTAATTACCTCCGTATAGCTCTTGCATCAATTTGTCCCTAAACGCTTCTTCACTAGGCGTAAGTGTTGCCTTAGATATTAAAGTTTGAAGCATATCAAACTTCATCTTCATTTGTTCAAATTGCAACTGTTGCTCAGTTAATTCCATTTGTATTTGCCTCCTTTGTTCCTTTGCCCTTTCCATTTCTAATCTTTGTTGGCGCGTATTAGCCTCTTGAACTCTAACCTCGATGTTTGCATGCATTTCCTCAATAAAACTAAAAACTGCCCCTTCCATCGCAACTCCTTTGCCTTTGCGCTTCGCCTTAGTTTTCTTAACACCACAAGTCGAGGAGTCCTCCAAAAAAAAATCCACCGCCAGAAGAATCGGTCTGGTCATCTCCATCGACTCTATATCTCTTCCCACTTCCACTGCTGTCCTGCTGATTATCATCTACATCCTCTTTTAAGTTGCATTGCCTACCTTTCTTCTTTAGATAGTGCCCACCGAATTTTCGACATCCGCTTTGGTTCTTTAATGACCATCCTCCAACCATGCACACATAAGAAGTTCCTAGGCTTAGGAAGTACAGAGTTACGAAATATATTATGTGCATTTTGGATTCAGTCATCCTTGTTGTACCCACTTCCAAGTTTACCAGCTTCTTCATAACACCTTCCCCACAAAACAATATCTGGAGCAATTCGTCTCCAACGATTCTCCAACATTTTGCTCGTTCTTGGTGGCAAGATATGTGGCTTTTCAGCTTGAGCCAAATCATACGATGCAGAACCTTTTGTCATAGAAATGATGCTTTCTAGTTTGACCCAATTAATTTATCAGGTGTAGTGATCCAAATAGCTAGCAATTAGTGCTTCATCTTTAGCTACAGACCAAATACGAGAGGATTGAACATGTTCTTGTTGTTGTTGTTGTGGATTCACCGGCGACAGTTGCGTTAACGGTTCTAGAGGGTATTGCGGTGTCTCCGGAACATGTATTTTGTCTTCACCAAACTCATAATTGCTTCCCTGATTACCATAAGGAGATTGTTCATAGTTATCAAAAGATGGTTGTGTTAAAGCATAGTCCGTTGCCCTTTTATAATTAATGGGCATCAGGAGAAAGAAGATGAAATAGTATAATAAAATACAAAAACTAGCATTATATTTTTGGAGAGAGAAATGCCATGACCAGGTCATGGCTATGACCTCTTGCAAAAGGTGGGCAAAAGATGAGGGTGCGCCACTTGTCTTTAAATAATTGGCCTATAGTGTTATTTTTAATATTCTTTTTAGAGTTTTATGTTCATAAGAGTACAAGTATAAAAAAATATTTATGACCAAGGCAACTAATGAGAATATATGGGCATAACTAGGTATAAGAATTGGGCATGAATGAAGTGGAAGAGAGAGAGATATGTATTAAATATTTGATGACCTCCATTGGCTTGGGCAACCAATGTCTTTGCTCTTAATGGAGAAATTTCTTGAGGAGGATTTTGAATAGAAGTACTACCCTTTTATGTAAAAATTGTTGAAAAGAAGGGTGATTAAT